AAAAAGTCATTAGGTATCAAGAGTACAGATAGACAGTGCATTGACAATACTAGAATCTTACATACCCTTAATTATTTTCGGACTAATTTAATCCAGATCGTAACACATAACCCCTTTTACTCATATTTCTACTTCTAATGTATCGTAACAGCCTTTCATGTTTTATCCTCTTATTTTCTGTTTTACTTATTAACTTTTGTACTTCCTCATTTCTAACCTTTTCAATTCGATATTTCCATCATTTCCTTATGACAAGCACCGCATCTTCAATTTTCTCATTTCCTTCGTGTCTAATATCACTGTCCCAAATATACACCTTTAATAGCCTTTTTCAAATTTCTGAATTACCCGTTCGAATGGCGAAATTACGGATTTAGTTTCAATTCGGAAAACTCCTGTTTCGCCAACCACCCTTATTTAATTTTAGGATAATTACAGAAGGGAAAGATGAAATTTGCTGAATTTTTAGCTGATCAGTGGAGACCAGGTAAAAAAATATTTTTTTTGTGATTATTTTTCGTTGGTTTGCTTTGTCAACCTCTTCAAGCGAATGCCCATCGCGAGACTAGTTGTCGATACGATTATACATTTGCTAGAAGTCAAGGAAGCGTCGCAAGGGAAAAATACGTCAACATATTTTCCTGGATCTCCACTAATCACTGAAAATTCAGCAAACATGTCGTGTAAGAATTACTAGGTACATGTTGGATCATTTATCTAAAACCTATAAGTTAAATGATACTATCCCTCCGTATTTATACCTGTTTATATGTATCTGTGCAACATACACATAAGCAAAACATAGTGTGTTGGTATTTTTCTTCTTATGAGGGAAAATGCATAATTTAGTGAACGTCTGGTGTCAGTTTTTTCAACCACGTCTATATTAAAATATCTGCTGCTTCTCTAGGAACTGTCCTAAACTAATCGAACTACCAAAATCTTTTGAACAAAGGTTTAAATTGCTTTTATTGGACATACATTAATTTAATTAATTATTGATTTGAAAAGATGGCTTAAGATATTTGAACCAATATTCTAATATTTTTAAAAAAATTTTGCTGCTCTTTGATGGTTGCATGTAATTTGAATATATATCTCTAAATTCAGCTCTGTATTCGTCAAAAAGAAAAATTATTGCATAATTAAGGCTTATATTATAACATTTTCTTTATGGGGAATTTGATTCTCTAAGATTTGTAAATTTGACTAATAGAAGCAAAAATGGTTCGCAAAATATTTTATATTTTTAGTGCTGTTTGATGATCTAAGGTTAGAAATGAAGAGGTATTAGAAAGAATAGAAGAACAGAGGACTCTATGGAAGTCAATAAAAACTAGGCGAGATAGGTTGGTAGGACACCTTCTCAGACATGAAGGTCTAGTCGGAGACATATTAGAGGCAGAAACAGGAGTTACGAGGGGTAGAGGTGGACCTGGATTAGATGTTCACAAATATTTAAGGATGTGGTATGTTCTAGTTTTAGGGAAAATGCGAAGATTAGCTCAGGATAGGAAAGAGTGGAGGTACGTGTCCAACCAGTCTTAGGACTGACGATCTTGTGATGATGATGATCTACCGTAATTCAGAGGGGAACGTTTTAAATACAAAAACAGGAAATAATATTTCAATGATCCTTTTTTTATCAAAACAACCTGTATCCAGGACCCTTCCACTATAATACCTGTGTATTTTCTTTCCTTGTATGGTTTTCTGGATAAATGAAATTGACTTTTTCAATGAGGATTCTTCTCAACTCTGTTTGATTTACTACTTCAAATTGATTGCGTTTTTTAGAATCCAATCCTGCTGTTACAGATATCAAACACACTACATGTTGTATAGTGGCTTTTTTATGTCAGCTAAAATACAATAGATTAATTCCCAGAATTCCCAAAGTAAATATTTTTGTTCAGAGCAGAATGAATTAGCGGAAAAAATTGGTATGCACGCCTACATGTGGCTTTTGATCCTGTAGAAGGTCACTCGGAAAGGTCATAACCAAAACGTACACGAGATCAAAACAGTCGACGGTCGAAAAACAAATTAAAAACGTCCAAACTGTAATTGAATTTAATTCCAGAGTATATAGGGTTTTATTTTGTTTTAATATCAGATAAAATGTTGAGTTACCTCGTACATGTTCCGCAGAACGTAACAAATTAAAAGCGAATCAGAACTGTTAGTTAAAACGTTATATATTTCGTTTACTTTCTGTAACGATGTGACCTTCAGTTTGACCGGCGCAAAGTAGAAAAGAATAGCACTAGGCCAGAAAAGGAAGAAGACAACTCTCGGCAAAACTCTTAACCGGTGAGGAGCTAATAATCCGTACAGTACTGCACGGAAAAATTGGCCATTTTATCCACTACAATTGCATTGCTCAAATGTGCTGTTATTGGTACCATTGGTACTGAAAATATCAACGANTGCTGCTCTTTGATGGTTGCATGTAATTTGAATATATATCTCTAAATTCAGCTCTGTATTCGTCAAAAAGAAAAATTATTGCATAATTAAGGCTTATATTATAACATTTTCTTTATGTTTTCATGTATTTGGCTAAAAATGAGCAACTGCCAGTGGTATGGTCAATTGTTTTTTTTAATAATATATTTTTCGCAGTTTTTTGTTTTTATTTATCTCTATGTTCCTGCCGTTGTTGGTTCGGGCATTTTCTATAAAGCACTTTTGATCTCCACACTTTACCATTATTAATTATTATTAAGTAAATTCTTGCGTGTTAATAATAATTAATAATAATAATTCCTACCTCACAACCAGTGTATAATAGCAACAATTAACAATAATCATCAAAATTGAACTTCTACTTGTTAGTTATTATGAAATACCCATTTCTTTTTATAATTAATACCACTACATATATTCCGCAACATTTATTTAATCAACTGGCACGAGGTAAACGTAAGGCAAAAATCAATACTTTATGGAGATCACGCAATGTTACGTTAAATAAAAATATTAATTCAGGTTTCTAAGAAGCAATGTAAGTACACGACAAATTAAAATAAAACGAATGTTAAGAACAATTTGTTTAATCAGAGGTGCAGTGTTCGTAGTAATGTATTAATTAAAACACTTTCCGCCCCGTTTTGATTCGATCGATAAAACTAATTAACTTTTGTTTAACTAGCGTATTGATTTTCTTTCCACCCTTTTCTTAAAACTGTATAATAGTTAATTTAGTTATATTCACCATAAGTAAAGAAAAAGACTATTTCACAGAATTTTTATAAGCATTATAAAGGAGAAAGATAAAATATACAAATTGAAATTAAGGTTTTTAAACAATATACCAATCAGGAATCTAATCGTCTCGATTTGATTGTAAAGTAAAATATCAAATTTATATTACCTGTTAATATGTATACCTATAAATACTTTTGGTTGAGCTCAATTTCTAACCACTTTTTAAACCTTAAAAGTTGTTAAATATTTTTTAAATTTGTTGAGCTCAGTTCAGTTTTTTCAAGAGTGAATCATGTTTTAAGTACTTTGATCCATTGGCTAAAAGACTTTATTCTTTGTCTAATATGCACTTTGCGTTGTATGAAAATAAATAAAAGAAGAACAAAAAATACTGGTGTGCAAGGGAAGAACCGAAAGGGAAGCGAAGTAGGGAAAGAGCGAATAATAAGGATAGGAGACGAAAGATTAGAAGAAGTAGTTGATTTTCGATATTTAAGAAGTCAGATAAGTCAGGACGAAAGGAGTAGTAGGGATATAAAGCAGAGGATAGCGCAGGGTCGAGTCGCCCTCAATAAAAAGAAGTCACTTCTATGCTCACGAACAATTAATTTATAAATTTGAAAAAGATTGTTAAAGGTGTATGTTTGGAGCGCGGCGCTGTGCGGGTGCGAAACATGCACGGTAGACGCGGCGGAAAAGAAAAGGTTAAAAGCATTTTAAACGTGGCGTTACCGGCGGATGATGGGGATACCGTGGATAGAGAAGGTTAGAAATGAAGATATATTAGAAAGAAAAGGAGAACTGAGGACTCTATGTAAGTCAATAAGAAATAGACGAGATAGGTTGGTAGGACACCTTCTCAGACATGAAGGTCTAGTTATAGACATATTAGAGGCAGAAACAGGAGTTAAGAGAAGTAGAGGTAAACATTAGATTACTGTTCGCAAACAGTTAAGGCGGTGGGTTGTTTTAGTTTTACGGAAATGCGAAGATTAGCTCAGGATAGGAAAGAGTAGAGGTGCGTGTTCAATCAGTCTTAGGACTGACGACCTTATGATGATGATGCACTTTGTGACAATCTCCACTTTTTAACTCTAACTAAATCGTCATCATCATAATGTCGTCAGTCCTAAGACTGGTTGTACACGCACCTCCACTCTTTCTTATCTTGAGCTAATCTTCGCGCTTCCTTAAACTTGGAACATCACACATCCTTAAGTTTTTGTGAACAGTAATCTAGTCTAGGCCTACCTTTACTTCTCTTAACTCCTGTCTCTTCTAATATGTCTCTGACTAGTCTGAAGTGCCTGAGAACGTATGTCGCCTATTTCTTATTGATTTTCATGCAGTCCTCTATTCTCCTATTCTTTCTAATACCTCTTCACTTCTAACCTTCTCTATCCACGGTATCCTCATCATTCTGTCCTGTAACAATGCATTTCGAACGATTTTAAACATTTCCTTTACGTCGCGCCCACCGTTCAGATTTCGCACACGTTTCCAAATTCCACAAAGAAGCTTTCAGCATATCTTTCTTTCACCAAACCAAAAGCGCGAAAAAAGTTTATCTGTAAACAGTAATTAGTTCATGTTTATGTAGTTATACCAATTGCATTATTTTAATCTGGCAATTGATATCTAAAAAGTAATTAAAAAATACTTACTGAAATAAGTTTAACATTTACTTCTAAGAAGATTAGCGTTTAAGATAAATACGCAAAGCATAACTTTTATATTTTCTGTATCATTGGAACTTAATTGTATTTGACCTTTTTCCTCTTTGTTTGCAGGAACAACAGGTAGAAATATAAGACATCTTCCATGCATATCGAGAAAATCGAACCAGAAAGGCGTTTGCATGTTCGCAATCGACTGTTTAAAATCGAACGGCACTCATTTGGGCACGTGCATAGATCGATTTTACTTCGGTTCGTGTTGTCGTATCGACCACGTAAACGAAATAGCATCAAACACAATAGACGCCGCTCTGATACCGCCCGACAGGCACCATCAACATACTCATATACAAACGTCGACAACAACGGAAACGGCGACGACCTATCACAAAAATGTTAGCAGTAGTACGACAAAAACAAAAATAGAAACATCCACTACTGCAAAACCAACATTAATTACCAAAGTACCGATCAGCACACAAAAAACGAAATCTCCGTCGATCACAACTACAACAGCAAGAACGAAATACTCGACAACGGTAAAACCCCAAAGGACAACGACACCAAAACAAACGACGAAATACACAATAACAAGTACAAAAAGTACTGCCACCACGACAACGGAAAAAGGAACCACTACACTTTTTTACGGAGATAAAATCGTCACAACAATTCGACCGAAATCGCCTAATAGCACGCAATTTAGCAAAATCAAACTAACGACAAAACCTCCAAAAATCGAAACAACAACGAATTTCCCAGAAAGGCTCACTACATTCCAAAATGTTGTAGAAAACACTGTTTCTTATGAAACAACATCACAATCTTCTACTGCAACATCGAAACTGTCAACTACTCCAAAACCTACGCGGCCAAAACCTACAACATCTAAGCCATTTCCAACAAAGAAACCTTCAGCATATCCTACCTTCACCAAACCAAAACCCACCACAGCACCTTCAAAACCGACAGCTTCTAAACCTACTAGAACCTCTCCAAAACCGTACGTTTCTACCACTAGTAAACCCCTTTCAGCTGTAACACAAAAACCGGTAAAAATCCCACCAAGGCCGCTTAGTACAACTAAAAAACCTGTGACAAGCACATCAAAGCCTGTCATAACTTCTTCAGCAAAACCTAGTAGTAGTAGTACTACTAGTAGTAGCAGCAGTAGTACTACCACAGCAAAGAAACCTGTGGTAACATCAACTTCGTCCACTATTACTACTACCAGTAGTACTACCATTACTGTTGCTTCAAAACTGCCAGTTAGTACAGATTCAATTACCAACTTAACCGGAGCAACTTTGAACGCTTCTACATCAACTCAATTGCCCGTTAATTATCCAGATTATACAACAGTAATTCTGTTAACAACGACTGAAAAGTTACCGTCAGCTTCGACCGATTCCAACGAAGTTTCCGTGCAATTAAATGGCACTGCTTCTGAACCACTTGTAACCGGGAACGTGGACACTAATGAGATTCAACAAGAAAAGCCTTTGAAGCCTCTAACGCCTGCAACCGCTACGCCAGAACAACCTGAACAAACCACTACGCAGCCTTTTGTAACATGGACTATTCCTGAAGAGAATGCCAGTAACATCAACCAGACAGATCAAGGTAAGCTCATTTCATATTTACATATTTACTTAATGTAAAAATTTCCAGATGAATGAATATGGAAGTGCAATTACGACATTCGTTTTGTATTTTTAAAATTTGATAACTAAAAAAAATACAATTCAGATATTGTTACACCTCATTACTACTAAAAGTGTTATCACTTTTTTTGTAACACTATCCAGTGGTCACCCATTGAAGGGCTAAAAAAATAGATATTGACTATATTGCACATGTTTGTACGGAAAAATATTACAACAATTACAAAATGCATTAATAATAGAATCATTGACGAAATTAAATTATTACAACATAAATTTTGTATTAATCTTAACTATGAGCAGTTAAATAATTTAATTTTAAATGACATATCCAATTCTGCCCCCAGAAAGGAAATTATGGGAAGGATGTGGGATGTCAGAAATTATGTAAGGGTGATTGGGATTGGAAATTGTTATTCAATGAGATGGTGAGGATTATGGTGTTGTATGGGGTGGAAATATGGGGATGGAAGGGAAAAAGGGTATAGAAGTTTTATATAAAAGATATATCAAGTGGGTATTGCAATTAGGGAAAAGGGAGATTAAATGTGGGAAGATGTGGAATGACACCTTACGAAGTATAGTAGAGTATGCGATTAGTTTGGAGTACTGGAAAACGGGGATATCAGGAAGGAAATATGGAGGAAGAAGGTATTAGAAATAGGGACGAACAGTAGATATGATAGAGAGAAGGACAGGGCTTTGAAGAGGTTAAAAATTAATCAGGACTAGGTGAAGGAGTGACTTAAGGAAGGGATCAATATAGAGGAATAAATGAGGAACAGACGCAGGTAACAAGGAAACAGGATCTAAGAAAGATAGAGGAGTCAAAATATGTGGTGTGGTAGAAAGAGATTTTGTGGAGGGATTGGCAAGAAGATTGTGTGCAAAAGTATTTAGAAGGAGAGAGGGAAATATAAACAATTTTTTAGTAGCAATAACTGTGATCATGGTTTTTGTTCATCCCTCTTGCTTCATTTAGATTATCTAAAATGTTATCTTCAAGCAAAAAAAATACTATTTATATTTACCTATATGTCACTTGAAAATATCTAAAGTATGCTATTTTAAAAATTAAAAAGATCCTGACCTATCTGTATAAATTAGGCCACGCTAATGTAATTCATCTGAAAATCGTTTAACTTTTGGTACAATAGCCAGAAGGGGCATTAAACGTCGAAATTTAAGAATAAAAACCAAAAGAATTGACATGAAAAAACTGCCATAACAAGTGAAAATCCTATTCCATGTCACTGATATTAGAATTAAAACATAACAATGAAATGATCGTCTCAAATATAGTATCTCAGGAGTGACGGTTGAAATGAAGAATATTTTTTTTCTTATTTTAATACTGGAAAAATGTAAAAATTTCGTCAAAAATGTAGAACTCTTGCAAGATTGTGATGTCTACTACGGATAAATTGTCAATGTTTTTCTGGGAATACCGCGTTTACAAACTCAAAGTGTATCTGTTAATAAAATTCTACCAACAAAAATGTCATATCAAGAGAAAATAAATACGTTATATGAAGCGTGGGTAGAATATAATTTAGCGCTAGTGTTAGTAATCCTTGGCGTTTTTAAATCTACATCGTTCTTATCCAACGATATCTTTTTCTGACTTCCTCCGTAGAATCTTAAATAGAAACTCATCGTTTTTACGCTCAATTTATAAAGGCCTTGCGTGAACACCAACCGTTTTTCCACATCGTAAAACTCAATTCCTTGAACATTGATGTTGAGTTTAAAATGTCTTAAAGATAGCTAGCAGACACTTTAAATGAAACTTGAAATTGCCTTTCTCTCCAAGAAATTGGTTTCAAAACAAACATCGCCGCCATTTCTCGGCCTTTAACTCGTTCTTCGGAGAGAAAATTTGAAATTACCGGGCAGTATTAATTTGAAAATTGAATTTCTTCTTGAAGATAAACAAACAGTTGAAAGGAAAATTAGTAGAAAAGAAAATTAGAATCTTAAATTCACAAAAACAGACTCTTATTTTCGTACAATGGAAATTATAACTTTTAATAATTTTTTAAAGGAATATAAATCCTTATGGAAGTACCATACTTGGAATATGATCCTTTAAATTAATTAAATTACAATAAAATTAATAAATTTGTAATATCAATATGAAAAGATTAACAGCTAAAAAATCCTGCACACAAAATCACACTGCCTATATTTCAATCAAAATTATGTTTTACAATATATGTTTTAAATCCATAACATGAAATTTCGATAATCTTAAGGATGATGTATAAAAAATGATAATTGTTAAAGGTACGTATTTTTTTGGTCAAAATCGACTTTAAAAATAAAAAACATTTCAAGAACTAACAGTTTTCAATAATGTGCCACATAACAAAATCCATTGCAAATGAGATCTACTTTAACCCCCTTCCCCTCAAGTGAATGCATCGAATTTCGTGTAACGCTATATAATTAACAGTTAATTATACTGATCATTATGTTCATCGTAAAGATGCGTTTTTCTGTGAAGGAGGCAGCGACATGATTGCAAAGACATCAAGGAAGCTCACGAATCGACCCAGTATAAAACCCGAGATAATTGTTTCTAATTTAACAATGGCTTCGAAAGCCTGAAAATTATCATAAAATACTCGTCAGGTCTTTACGGTTTACGGTAGATTTTAATTTCATGGATTTTTAGCCTCAACCAACGTAAATATTTACACCCACTGAACTTTTAAGTAATACATAAGTATGTTATTGTATTAGAAAGTCGTCTTGCTTTTTGATATTCGGTGCCTTCAGAATTTGAATTTCATTTTCATGGAAAGTTTTGCGTTGGTGTAGGTACAAAATATTTGCGTTATATAAAATTGAGATCATGCAATTCCCTGAAGAAATTTACTCAATATTCAGTAGAAGCCTCGGATATGATACGAAAACTATTGCAATATTGATATCGAAATATACATGAACCTAGTCACCCAAAAACAAATCAATAGGATTTAGTGGCAGTGAGGACTCGTGATGAAATTTTTCGAATATTAATTTGTATTAGCAAGCAGAGCAAAGAAAATGCAATGATCACAATATTTCACTACAAAATCAACATTTTCAACTGATTCGTCGTTTATTTTGTACTAATGTGAACAGTTATTTTTTATGTAATTCAATAATCTATCAGTAAAACTTGTTCAAACGAGTTAAATGCCTTTGTGAATTAAAACTGCAATGGCATTGTTCGTGATCTTAATTGCAAAAAAAGAAAGCATTTTATTACAATTTAAAACAATATTTGTGTCATTGAAATTCTGATACTTTAGCTAATTTTTTCAAGCTTTCATTTGCTCATTGGATTCTACTCCAGGCCGATTTTACGATTTTTCACCAATTTCACTGCTTCAATCAATATTATCGATGAAATAATCACTTTGCTTTGATGTTTCTATAACTGTAAATGTTAGTGAAATTCTACTGATTCATTTTTAGAGAGTACACCAAGGAAGATTAGAAAATTTCCCATTACTCATTTAGTTCAACCTTTGGTATTTCAATTTCGTTTATGCATAAAATATTCGACGTGGTTTTTCGGTATGAACACTTAAGTCAGTCCTAGACCAGTGTAAGTGGCACAGAATCGGATCCGTTATCTGCTGTAATAAAAATGAAAGGTATGCCGCTTATTTACAATTGTTTTGGACGACCAGGTAACTTGTTTTCGCCCTCGAAAGTATGTCACCTACTTCGAACAGAATGACCACTACGTAACGACTTGGCTATTTGTGTATGCATGCGTGTATATGTACACACATTGCGAACAAAAACAAAACGAGATCGAAATTGTTGAGTTACCGCATAAAGGGAGAAACGTAGTATTAAGGCGTCATCCCTCGGAATAATTAATTAATAAACGTGACACAAACGGGTTATAACAAATAAATTAACTTGATGTTAACAATGTCGAACAAAGGAGTATAGATAGTGAACTAATATTACAATCAAGCTGTTATTGCTTATTCAAACCCTTAAATGTAACCAATTCGGGTTAAGGAAAAATTCTGCTTTACCGTCAAACTTTTTAATTTTTCTTTGGAAGACATTGCTTCTACGTACACCATTACTGTTGTTATGCCCATTTGTAATAACCCCTACTATCTCAGTTCACGATATCAGACATTACAAATAAGTATTTATATGTACTTCGTAGTTCGTACGTGTTGCCTTTGCCGAGCGTAACGTTATTATCTTAACCTAACTGTTTCTTTTTTGGTGCCACGGCGATATGGTAATAATAGTTCCGCTTAAAGCTCCAGCTATTGATTGGCGTGCGGATAATTTTTCCAAAGAAAGTTGATGGAAATTTGAATCAGTCAGTATTCGAGTATAGAGTAAAATTAAAAATTCGAGTTGGAGAAATGGAGAAATTCGAGTTAGAAAGTTTGGAATAAATGTAAATTCACAGAATTAAATCGATGTATTTTGAGTTCCAAATGGGAGGATTAAAACAAACCGTTCGCATTTTGGAAAACTTAAACTTAATGGCAAATATGCAAATACAATGTTAGTTATCATCATTTTAAGGTCGTCAATCTTAATATTAGTTGGATAAGTACCTAAAGTTCTTTCTATCTTAAGCGTTTCCCCAAAACTAGAATATCCTTAACTATTTGTGAACAGGTAATCTAATCTAAGCCTGCCTTTACTCCTCTTGACTACTGTTTCTGTTCTTAATATGTCACTAACTAGCCCTTCATGTTTGAGAGAGTCACTTCTAATTTTTCGTCTTATATTCACTCTTTCTCTATTTTGTCCACTACTTCTGTTTTACTTAATAATTTTGGTAAAAAGCGTAAACTTGATTAGGACATAAGTTGCTTTCATATTTTGAAAGTTATATGGTTTCATTCTTATAGATGTATTTGGCGAAAGCGCCTGGTATTGTAACAAAATTTTTTAAAATGCATCATTTCAAACTGGATGCGTGGTTTTGAAAAACGGAAAAACATTAACTGTTATTCAAGTAGATTTAGGTTTCTTAAAGTATTTAGTTTTATTTTTAAAGTTACTAATGAGTGAAACGTATTTTATTTAAGTGTTATTTATTATTGTTGTTTTCTGTATTTTTTAATAACAATATTAAAAAATATTTTGATTTCTTTTGATTAAGCTGATGGAGATGTATTGAAAAATGTTAGAAAAGTGTGGGGACATTCAATTTCAGTTAATGTTAATCTTTGAATCTCATCAGCACGCCGCAATACTTCTCAGAGTAGACGGATCTACAGATCTCCGACTAATTTACTTCTTAATCAATAAATAAAGAATGATCCCTATGTTTTATAGTTTTTTCATAAGTATAGATCATATTTTTGTGATTTGTAAGGATGGAAACCCATAACTTCACCGGATTGGGTTCTCCTACCGAGTGTATCAACGTCTTCACCGGCAGAAATCAATGTCACATCATCAGCCGCAACAATTTCTTCAGAAATTCCCGATGTTTCGACAATTCCAGAAAACACTACGACCTCGACAACTTTCACAAATTTCACCGAAACGTCACCGTTATCAAGTTCTACATCAACACCGAAACCAGTCTCATCTGATTTACCAGTCGATTTTAAACCCGTAAACATGAGCGATTTTACTGACGGTAGGTTTAAAAATTCTTAATTTATCCACACCTACTAACCATTTACCTATAGCTCCATAAAATGAAAAATATTTCGTACCAACTGAAGGTTAAAAGTTAATAATAATAAAACTGAAACATTACTTTTATACGTATTGTAGGTAGAATGAAGTTTTTAACGTTTTTCAATTTCAAGAGATGCATAAAAAATTACGTATTAAGTCTCATCTTCTCTTTATACCAAGTTAACACGGTTAGAATTGTGAAACAAAAGCTCCGAAGTCTTATGGTTCTTGAACTTTCAAGGTAAACTAACTTACACCTTGTTACCTGTTAGGCATCTGTCTCATGACATTTATTTGAAATATATAGATAATTACGTTTGTATGAATGTGTGAAGACACAACTATTAAGAAGCAACGTTTACATTCATAATTACATGCTCTACGGTTAATTTTCGAAATTTATTTTAACCATAAACCATAAAACCGACAGACATTTTATTACCCCTGTCACTGTCATATACTTGATCGCAGGAACATTTACAAATAATATCATGATACATAATGATGATCATATTCTCAAAAGTACATCCCTTAATTCATTAAAAAACAAATGGGAGACGAACTTTTCTTTGAAAATTAAGCACGATACATAAAATTTAAATAAATATTTACAAGGAATGACCAATCACAAGCGCACTTTATATACGAAGGTTGTTAAATGGGTCTTGTCGTACCATTTATTTTTGAGGTTAGCAGTTAAACTAATGATACGTCGTTATCAACAAAACATTTCCATTTGATTGCAGTGTTTATTATTAATTGTAAAAAAATGATGGCAGTTTTCTTTAATAAGTAAGGTATTGTCAAATGAGACAATTAAATGTTTAAACCGCTATAACTCCGTTAACCGTTTGTATCAAAATTTGCAGCAGCCTAAACGGAAGAAATGATGCAAAAAGCAACGCATTTGGACAATTTTTAACGGAGTTATAGCGGTTTAAACATTTAATTGTTTTAAAAAACAATGAAATAATGAATAAAATTTTGTTTTCTCTGAATAGATAGTTTAACCGAGTAAGATAAGTTACGAATCGATTAAATCATCAATTTTAAATTTTTAATAATTATTTTGAATTTTTTAAAATTTCCGCGAATTTTGAGGTCTCTGCCATTGGGAGGCGCAGACGTTTTCTTCTATGAAAGATATGAAAAAAAGTTATCAATACTTTTTCTTGCAAAATGGCATTGTGAAAAATTACTAATGTATATATTTTTCATAAATGTGATAGACAACGAGGAAATTGCGGGCAAACTTGCATGTTAGCGCGCAGTGGCCTAAAAATCACGCATAACTTTAAAAATTGATAAAAACTGAAAAAGTACTAAATTTATTTTGTTTTTTATTATCTAGAGAACATTGTTAAACTTTGCAGTAAGTTAACCAAATCTTTTAATTGTTATAAACAATTTAATATCTAATAAAATAATTCGAAGAGGTCTGTGTTCTGTCGAAACTGCCAGACGCGGATCGCGATTTCGATCGTTTTGGATCTCATCAGCGCGTCGCAGGCAGCTCCGACAGAACACAGACCAACTTTTACCTGCTGTCTCAACAGTGCGTTTTAGAAAATACTACAAATGGTGCAGTAAACGCCATCTGTAGCACGATGCTACATTTTAGGATTACGTTTGCTCCAACAAGGTCCACTTGTGTGGATATCTACTTGCTGAAAACGAATCCCGGCGTAGCCAACCTCAACGTGATATGCACGTTAGCTTAATCGAATAAAATAATTCGAAGAGATCTGTATTCTGTCGAAAATACAGTATTGTATTGTAGTATTGTATTGTTGAAACAGCAGGTAAAAGTTGGTCTGTGTTCTGTCGGAGCTGCCTGCGACGCGCTGATGAGATCCAATAAGATGGAAATCGCGATCCGCGTCTGGCAGTTTCGAATTATTTTATTCGATTAAGCTAATGTGCCTATCACGTTAAGATTCGCTACGCCGGAATTCGTTTTCAGCAAGTATAGATATCCACACAAGTGGACCTTGTTGGAGCATACGTAATCCTAAAATGTAGCATCGTCCTACAGATGGCGTTTAGTGCGCCATTTGTAGTATTTTCTAAAATTTAATATCTGTTTCCTAGTTTTGAGAAGATAGAGAAAAGTTTCATTTAACTTTTCCGTTCGTACAGATATAACGAATATGTAGGTATATGAAGAAAAAACAATTTTTTATGCAATTAAATATTTATCACTCTATTCGTGGACCAAATATGCATATTTTGCTGGACTAGAAGAAACATGCGAAAAAATGTATACACACTCGTAATTTATTGATCATGCTTGTGTAAAGAGAAGCGACTGCCCTTTCAAACTCGTTTGAAAACAAAAACAAAAAAGAAAGACAAATGCGTCTAGTCTAGAAGAAATACAAACGACCTAACATTATTATGTTAAGTTGACCACATCTTTCAGTCAGTCTTTATTAATCTTCCCGCCGTGAATGAGTTCACCGCGCGTTCATCAGCTTTTTGCCGATACGAAATCCAATGGTGCCACTCGTTTTTCTTCATTGCGGCCGTAATAACGACAGAAATGATCGCTACAGTTTACAATCTGTGAAGAGAACCGGTTAAACAAAGCGCAACAAAACGGCTATAATTGTTATACATTCGCGGTAATTTAAAGACCATCTATGTACTCATCGTAGGGTCATCTTCGTGTTAATTAACCCGAGAAATTCTCATATTTTTTTTTATTTGATACCAGTTTTTATCTAAAGTTAATGCGATACACATTTCCGACCTTTATTAACATTTTTCGATAAACTTCAGTTTCCTGTAGTTGAAGTTCAACAATTTAATAAATAGTCCCTGGGAACCGGGGGTTGATATAAAGGATCAAAGTGTTCCATTAAATTATATTATATATTCGAAAAAGGGAAGCACATGAGTTGAAATGAAAGGGGTGGCGAGCAAGGGTGAAGTAAGCAAAGATTATTTATCGTAAGAACGAGTCATTCGAAATATAAAAACAGTAAATCTAATATTTATCATTCTTGCAATTACTGCTCGGAGAAAACCAAAATAGAAATGTAGATATATCAGCGCGAATTGTAATTGTAATTAAATGTTATTTTTAAATACAACGTTTAATTGTAACTGAACAAATTGAAATGAGTTGGTAGTGCAAATTAAATTGTAATACAATATTTAAAAAATTAATCAAGAACGACCGAAGTAAAATCAGATGAAAATATAGATTATTGCAATTTGCTTATTAAATAACTTTTATTTATATCACTAATTTAGTCATTTCCAAAAATGATGGATACAACACAGAAAAGTATAGGTGTATTGTACATAGGCAGGGTACTGCTTGAATATTGTTTTCAATGACGGATTGTAAAGTGTAATGGCTACATTAATAGTAATAAATATTAATTTGAAAATCCATTCTCAGATTTTATCCACTGAAAGTTATTCCAAATTAATGAGGAAAATTTTGTTGCGGTTGCCGGGAATTGAACTGGGAACCTTTAGCTTTACGCACCAATGCTTATTAATTTGAGACAACTTATAGTCAGGGGCGCAACAAGGGGGAGGGGTCCGCAGGTGCCTGAGCACCCACTCGATTAGGTTGGGCACCCAGTCAATTCCAGTCGATTCAGATAATAACCCAACTTGAAAGTTCGGTTCAAATAGTTCAAGCTCGTAAATGAGCAGCCGAACTCGATCTTTTCAAGTATAAGAAATTCAATACATTGGTGACCTTTTTTTTTTAGTCATTTATATTATTATGATGGGAGCACCCACTCAAACTGTAACGTTGTTGCGCCCCTGCTTAAAGTGGATAAAAATTGAGAATGTATTTTCAAATAAACATTTAATATTAACCATCAAGAATTTTATTGTGTTTCGAATATTAATAAAGTTGAACTTGTTGAAAATGATATTGGTGAATTCGACTCTTTTGTTGGCAACAGTGTGCGGTAGAAGAATGTACCCGGAGGCTAGGATTGTCGGAGGAGAGCGTTCAGCATTCGGCAGGTGGCCATGGCAAGTATCCCTCAGGCAGTGGAGGACGTCCACGTACCTTCACAAATGTGGCGCTGCGCTACTCAACGAAAACTGGGCTATCACAGCGGCACATTGCGTAGACAAGTAAGTCAAAATACCTCAACATGCTTCTGAAGGTTTAAGCTACTCTTTTCGCACTCAAAAGTTTATTTGAAATGATTCAATATTCCTTATAGTCGTTGTTACTGCTATCACCTCTCGTGGCTTAGTGGTTAGAGCATTGACACGCAAAGCCACTGGACCGGGGTTCGATTCCTGGCGATGGTGTAACAGCAGCAACAAATTTGTTCCTCATTAACTTGTGGTTAGGCATTTTATAATTTTATCCCACTAGATAATGATGCCATTATCGATAAATCGACGCCTAATACACTCACGCCGTAAATATTTACGACTTATTCAAAAAGTAGTATAACAGTCACGCCACGTCTTATTCAAAAAATAGTATAACAATGCGAAAAGGTAAAAATATGATAACTGACCGCATAACAATCAAGATGGTTGAAGATTGGGTATTGTTTGTTTCAAACTGTACACTAAAATTTGACATAAGATAAAACCACAACATATTGGTTGCAATTACTGCTATATCAAAATTTGCAATTAACTTCTTTTTCTATTACCTAGTGTTCCACCAAGTGACTTGCTGCTTCGTTTTGGTGAACACGACCTGTCAACGGAAAGTGAACCGCACATACACCAAGAAAGGAGGGTCCAAATCGTGGCATCTCATCCTGAATTTGATCCCAGAACGTTTGAGTACGATTTGGCCCTTTTAAGGTTTTATGAACCGCTCGAATTCCAACCAAACATTATTCCTGTATGTGTTCCCCAAACTGATCAAGACTTCGTAGGGCGGACCGCATACGTAACGGGATGGGGAAGATTATACGAAGGTATGAATGCTTTATACATATAATTATTTAAATGTTTGATACTACTATAAGTCCAAAACATACCACAAAAAGAGACTGCTTAATCCTACACTTACTTCTAATTTAATTATTTAAAATAAATGAAACATAAATTTAATCTTTTAATTCACAGTCAATGCTACTTACAGCTCCAATAAAGCATTCTTTCTAGCTGTGTACCTATGAATAGTTTATTTATCACCGGTACAGTACCGGTGAATAGCTTATTTGTTACCGGTACAGTACCGGAAAAGAGACACATCATTTTTCTTTAAATATCTTGGTTTTCACTACTTTGGTCATTATAAAAAAAATACGACGTGTAGTTATACAACACGCCACTGAAGTGAAACTTCTTTAAACGTACAAACATACCGGGACAGGGGTTAAGGAATTGGTTTAATGATATTATTTGTACACTACGAATTTAAATTTTACACTATACATGCCGGAGTTGCCTGTAACGAACGTTGCATTGAAGCGCGCTCGCGGCTCAAGCGATCTCCACTACGAACTCGACTACGTGGCCGAGTAGAAGGGGGACATCCGTTGCATGATTTCGTTACATAGCAACTCGCATGAAACGAACTTACCCTACGGTGCGTAAAGAAGTTTCCCTTCAAAAAGAAAGTACAGGTAATGAATCTCGCTGGGCGCAGGCCGACCACCCCTTACTTAGAACTTAGAAGATTAGCGTCCAAATTTGGACGGGTTACAGCTAGTAATATGTACTTTTTTACCTCTTTGGCAAAAATTAAACAAGTTCTGTTTGTTTGGTTTTAGATGGTCCATTACCCAGCGTTCTTCAAGAAGTATCCGTCCCTGTTATCAACAACAGCGTATGTGAATCCATGTATCGATCGGCGGGTTATATCGAACACATTCCCCATATCTTCATCTGTGCTGGATGGCGGAAAGGAGGGTTTGACTCGTGCGAAGGAGACTCGGGAGGGCCGATGGTTATTCAACGGCCGGAGGACAAGAGGTTTGTTTTGGCAGGGATTATCAGCTGGGGTATAGGATGCGCAGAACCAAACCAACCTGGAGTCTACACGCGAATAAGCGAATTCAAAGATTGGATCAACCAAATCTTACAATTTTAAAAAGCAACAGTATACGAAATCTTCCCAAGTTTAGGAATCGAAGTCGAATATCCAGGTTGTGAAATTCAGTGCCTTAAATTTCGTCTACTTCCAATGTGATATTCCCACGAAGATGACGATCAAATAACGAAAGAGAATTCGGTGAATAACTTTATGTAAGTAGGTACATATCTACCTTCAAACTGAATCAGTTGTGTATGAAATGTACTTTGATATTAAATTTGTATTAATGTGATATAGTTCAGTGCAAACTTGTTGGATAAAAACATTCTCCAGTTCCAAAAGTTTTGTTTTCTGTTACACGCGTATTCTTGTAATTATAATTTATTCTAATTTATACGTAATTATTATTTATTTTACAATAATTTGTACATAAAACTGGTGCTTGTAACTACACTATTTATAATAAATGAAAAGTTTTATTCGGTGTTTCAATACCCTTTTCTCTAAATGAAGAGTTTTAGAATTTTAAAACTAATGAACTACAGACAAAGCACATATACTGTTCGTTTCAAGAAGTTAGAGATATGCCCCTTCCCTTTATTAGAATGCGCCGTAGCATAATTCCAAATTGAATCATATTTGTCTGCGGAGCTCATCTTTTCACCGATCATCAAGCGAGAGCTAGACAAAAGTATACAATACCATTTGCAAAATTATTTAAATTGCCTCGTTAAAATTTAATATGCTTTATTTAAAAGCATATTTAGCCAAAAATAATAACAAGTGAATTAACTTAACGTTCTACACACCTATAAAACTTTTGCTTTGTTTTCTATTATTAATTTATATACACTTTTGTTTTACTAAAAATTGTCGTCTAGTACTGTACAGTTCCCACCGAGAGCTCTGCTCGTTCAAGCTTGTTCCAACTATTTCTGTCTTGCTTACGCCTAGTGTGTATTCTTTCTATCTTCGCGCAGATTTCTTCATGGTCACAATTCTAACAAATTGAAATGGACTGTACTTTAGTTCAATTGAACAGGTGGCAAAAGGAACATTGCCGAGTGTCCTTTCAGGCCTCCACTCAGTAGCTAGTTTAATGTTTAAATGCGAAATCAGTAATATGTCTCCTATATAGTAACTGTCTTGATCATTCTTTGTGACAGTTCAAAGCATCAACTACAATTCTCAGAACTGCCTATATATGTAGATATATAAATTCAGCAATCTTATCGTTCAACTCTAACATGCCAGTCGATGTTGGAAATTTATTTCCTGCTATGACAATGATAATAATTTAACTATCGTGATCATTATATCACGATATTAAACATAAAATGCTGGGCGCGGTAAAGTCACTTATCGTACCTTCTCTAATCTATCTCGTATTTCCATAAAAATCCTCAAGCAGACGAATTAAAAATAACTGTTAACATTGAGATTATCTCCTTTTAAATGGATTGTTTGCACTTTGAAATATTTGCTATCAACTTTGGTTAGATATAAGTACTTATTATTGCACTTTAGAAAATATTTCTCACTTTGCGTGAGAAAAGTATAAAATAGCAGAATTGCACTCAAAGGATTAGGAACAATTAAGAAACTTAAAAGAAATATTTACATAATGCCCATTACAGTTTTATTAAAAAAGATACAAAAGTATTATCATTATTATATACTTATTAATTCTAGTTTGTTGCAACCACAATTTCTTCGTCATAGGCTTTCACATTGCAGGGTTGGCTATCAGATTCAGATTCATCCGATTGTATATTGAAAATAAATTCTTTTCTCAAACACATTGTTTCAGTAAAGTCTACAAGCATGTTATCAAAGAAATGCACAAGTGGACGGTATAAAAATCTCCAGTCCAAACTGCAAACAATTTCTATTGTTTCGCCTCAGTTTTTGTACACGTTCCACCTTGTTACTCATTAGTCGTTTTAGTGACTAATATATCAAAATGCGTTATCTCTTTTTATAGCGGCTATGTTTATTTCGTTTAACGAAAGTTGGAAATCATTTATTAATGTATATATACGCGTTTCTTGTTAAACTATTTTAGGCTATTTTAAAGTGCATTTAATTCCAGTCCTTTAAAAATACAAGGGATTTGACCATCGTCAGGTATACAGTTTTTATAGAAGGGGGACTTAGAAAACTGAATTGTGGTTTCCTTAATTAACCCAAGTGTTCTTCTAGCTTTATGATTGCATGCTTTACCAATATAAGTATTACCTTCTACTTAAGTATATCAGAGTTAAATAAATATATACCTAGCTATATCTTCAATAATTGGTTCGTGAAAAAGAGATTAAAAATGTATTAAAACCAAAACCATTAAAAAAAACACCAATTACCAATTACATAAACTATTATTAGCTTCTTATATACTGGAGAATAGTACTACCAGATAATGTTTTCATTTCTACGAATTCTTTTAAATCGCTAGTAAACGGCAGAAATTCAGATTTAACAAAGCATTCCGTATGTTCAACAAAGCTGGTCGTAAGTGTGGCGCCCCAAAAAATTTAAAATTTTTGTATAAAGTTTTCGACTTTTTGCATACCATATACACAGGTTTTCGCAAACTGTTTCTATTTTTACATTAGAAGAAGTGGTATCGAGGAAGTCAGATAAGTCAGGACGGAAGGAGGAGTAGCGATAGAGCAGAGGATAGCACAGGGTCGAGTCGCCTTCAATAAAAAGAAATCACTTCTATGCTTGAGAAACAATTAATTTAGAAATTCGAAAAAGATTTTTAAAAGTGTATGTTTGGAGCGCGGCGCTGTAAGTACAGATGAAGGTTAGAAACGTTCGAAATGTGGTGTTACCGGCGAATGATGAGGATACCATGAATAGAGAAGGTTAGAAAAGAAGAGGTATTAGAAAGAATAGGAGAATAGGAGAATAGAAGACTCTATGGAAGTCAATAAAAAATAGGCAAAATAGGTTGGTGGGACACCTTCTCAGGCATGAAAGTCTAGTCAGAGACATATTAGAGGCACAAACATGAGTTAAGAGAAGCAGAGGCAGACCTAGATTAGATTACTGTTCGCAAATAGTTAAGGAGTGAAGATGCGTGTCCAACCAGTCTTAGCACTGACGATCTTATGATGATAATGATGTTCCAACTGAAAACTAAATCTTAAACTTCACTCTTTTGTTCTATATGCTTGGATCAAAGTCGGCCAACGACCACTGTTAGCCATGGTTGTTTAATACTGCTCTTCAAACAACCACGGCTAGCAGCAAACTTCTAAATCTTTCTTTTCCTTATTTGCCCAGTTTCACATTTTCATTTAAACGTATATAAAGTTTTTATACTAAATAGGTACTGTATCTACTGTAAGGAAAAAATTAAGCTTAATCTTATCTTATCTATTAGAGCATATTACCAACAATATCACAGATAAGTAATGCGCACTATTCTGGGCATATCTACACTCAATTTTTTACGATTCTAGGGGAATACCCGACCACTGCAACTAATTCAATTTATTCCATATTTTACCATCTAAAACTAAGTGCTTATTAATTTCAATAACAGTTGTCGACTAGTAACCTGGTAGACAGTGTTTGATGATTAAAATGGTACGGCTTTCATTTTCTAATTTTGAGTAGATATAATTGTTATTTACCTACTTATCTTACCTTTCTTTTTAGGAATTTCGTCAGGAAAATAATCATTCCGGTAAATATAATATAGGTACATCATATTCAAAATTGTCTGCGAAATTTCTCAAAATGTTATTACATTGTTGTAGAGCGGAATGAATTGAAGGTAATTGATAATTTTATTTACAATTTTGAATCTACATATGGAACTCGTCATGTGGCATTTGCACGAAAACCTTTTCGCCATGTAATTTCAGAAAGTATATTTTCACCAGCTGAAACAGTACGTAATACAAAAATGATTAGTTGATACTGGGGTTACATGTTTCATTTCTTCTTCTTGCAGTGGCGCGTTATAGCACTCTATTTACATCACGGCAACGATTCGTTCGCACAGAACTGGTGCAAAAACCTTGTATCAAAAGAAACTGTTACACTATTGGAAGAATGCTTCTGTGTCTTACCGTGGGACATTTCTAATCCTTTGTATCATGAATCCCTTAAAAAGACATTGGCAAAAAATTTGAAGAATTCCTTCTATGATTTTTTTAAATATCAAAAGTCTGGAGTAATATTCATTTTACAACTAGATGGAATTCCTTCTGTATTTTCAATTCTTGAAGGAAATATTTCCTCTGAAACCATTTTATATACTCTCAGGAACATCAAAGAAGTTTTAAGGACAGTGTCTGCTGAATTTCAACAATCGTGTGAGACATATGAAGAAAATCAATCAAACATTGGGTAAACTTAACATTGTACTGTACTGAATGTTAGCATCCAAGATCCCATGTTTTTAGTAATAAAGTTTCTGTTTTTGTTTTGATAAACCTCTGAATATATGAACAGAAATAGTAAAATTTGAGTACTAAAAACTTAAAACCCTCGTAAAGGCAAAAATACTGTAAAAACATTAAATTAATATACAGTTAATGGTTCTTGTTTTATTATGGCATTAAATATATCAGATCATTTTCTTATAGATCAGACGGTTTCCAGCAAAACATGTACGAATTGTTAGGAGATCGAGATTATGACTGTTTTGAGTATAACCAATTGGATGAACTTAAAAAGAAAATTGGTTTTGCTTTATTTGGAGCTCCTCAGGAAAATGGTTATACTGAAAAAGGACTTCAGCAGATTGACACTATTTTCAAAAGGATTATTAATGAAAGTATGTTAACATTCTTTTGGGTTATTTCTGCTTATAATTATAGTCATTCTTTTAATTTCAGATATGTATGCTAGGTATAAAGATCAAGTTATTATTTCCTTTATATTTAATTGCACTGAGCCACTGCCAGAAGAAAAAATTAAAAAAAAGGAGAAGAACACTGAGTACAACCCAGATGGTGATATAGGGCCAGTACCCATTTTCGTAATAAAAAAGTGCTATTCTTCTATACGTGATCGTGGCTGTCGTATATTTATTGACCATGAAAGTAGAGTTTATACAAGTTGGAGTCAATACATAAATAATAACAGATTGGATAAGTGCATAATGGTTTTACCCAAAAATGGCCGTTACAGGGGCGATGAAAATGGGACTGTATTACTTGAGAAACATAAGTCACCAGCATGTCGATTTGGTGCCAGAATAGTCAGAGCTGCTGATATGTCAGCCAGTGGAGTAGGTCTGGCAACTGGAGGTGTTCTAATTGCATCTGCCATTCCCGCTATTACTGTTGCTCCATTTGTTGTAACAGGCGCTGTTGCGGCTGGTGCTGCAGCAGGCGCATTTTCTGTTGGTCGAAGTGTCATGTCCCTTATAGATATGAACAACCATAAGCAGGTAACGAAAAATTAAGTGAAAATAAAACTTATTAAATCATATACAACATTTAATTATAAATGAACACTTAATACTTGATACACATCACATTTCGTCTTGTTGGGGAAATATTAGGAGTAAAACAAGTACTACACTTTCAATTCTTTTTCTCCTTGAGGTTGTGTATCCCACTCGGGACATAGACGAGGGCTGAAGAGGACCTTCATTGGTCCTAGTAGAATGGTCTGAGAGGTATTGAGGTTTTAGTTGGCTTGCCCTCCTTGGAAGGAATCCAACATCAGCCAGGCATAGCATACGGACGGCTAGGTGGCTTTCGAAGGTTCTTTCGCTTTTAATCAGCCCTACCGTTGTAAACTCTGCCATTTCCGTATTAGAGAAGTTCGGTGTTTATTGAATTATTTTGCATTACTTCCTAACTCTAACAGTCAAGAATCTTACGCCAATTTTTATCATGTGCTTAAGGTTGTTTCCCGGGGGACCGCCGAGCCTGACGTGCTCTCTAACTATTGGTCGATCACCCATCCATGAAGTGGCCAGAGCGGTTGATGCTTACGTTCGATATCGTTTGACTGGAACTTAACCTAGCCCACCATACACTTCACACACAATTCTAACTCAGTCTCTACTATATTCTAATTGTATTTATCTATATAGCAGCTGAATATTAGCTAATCATCATAACCATCTTTTCTTTCTTTTCCGCTGTTTCCACCTTTCACGTTTCGCAGCCGTTTCTAAATAAACACACTTTTAACACTTTACAATTTGCTAAATTAGGTAATGATCAAATATTAGTCAGTGAGAGGTAAAGGCAGGATATTCAAAGATAGGATTCGATTGAAAATTTAGTAAGTACGTATCTTACTCCTGAAAATTCACTACTAAGGACAAGTAATAATATCGAATTTTTGACACAGTAAATGAATAGAGTTAGCAAGATAAATAAATAATTGCGTTTTTACGTAAATTTTCAATTTTTGTAATTTGAAATATCTGGTATTAACCAAAAAATTTAATGTAGGATGTAAATGTAATAAGGAATGAAGAAGCTAGGAACGCTGCTCTCAATATTGCCGCTGGAAGTATAGGGGTTCTAGGAAGTGGAGCTACAGCCGTTTTGTCAGAAGCAGTATCAAGAGGAGTAAATGTCGGACAAGTATTGACTGCCTTTATTAATCAATTTTAGTTTAATGCTAACTAATACGTTTTCAAGGTGGGCCAAGGAGTTGTAAACACATTAAATGTAACAAACCTAGCCATCGGAGCAACAGCTCTTGGAAACTCCATGTATTATGTTTACTTCAGTTGGAGAAATGGAGAAGAAATATCAACGTTAACAACTCTTCAGCTAGCGACATCGGCTTTATTCTTTGTAAACTCTGTTTACAACTTTAGAACTGCTGCAACGATTATAGAAGAAAACCAAACAAATGTCCTAAATCAAATAAAAAGCGATTTGCGAAGCAATAAACACAGGTAAAACTTCGAAAACTATAAACGAATTAATTAAGTAAATTCAGACGGTTTTTAAAAATGCAAAAATTTATCGTTGTCCACGATTTTTCGAAAAAGTCTAACGTAATAAAGTTCGGCTAAAGGCAGGCTTCTTAAAACGTAACATTTACAAAATTAACAGTATTTTTTTTCATTTTAAAATAAAATACAAATACATGTATATATATTCTCGATGAAGTCTCACGTCGCCTGTTGGTGAAACATATTTACCAAATAAAACTCAACACGCAAAATCAAGTAAAAAAAATATGAAATATTATTTTGAAAATTCATTTCTGAATTTTTTACCCACTACACACTACTTCAAATTAATGAGGGAAAAAATTCAGAAATGAATTTTCAGAATAATATTTCATATTAAACTAACTCACTTCTAAGTATATTCAGTAAACCTAGTTACATTAGTACGACGGTTCGTTAACCTTGTAGGTCGGTTGGTCGTAGTTGCTGTTGTCACCTCTCGTAGTTTAGTGGTCAGAACATTGGTGCGTAAAGCCAAAGGTCCCGGGTTCGATTCCCGGCGGGGGTGTGACAACAGCAACAATTTTTCCCTCATTAATTTGAGGTAGCGTGGTGGGTAAAAAATTCAAAAATGAATTTTCAGAATAATATTTCATATTAAACTAACTCGCTTCTAAAAGATATCTAAAGTGTATGTAAGTAAAAAAATATTAATATTAATCACCACTTTTACTTAAAATTTTCAGAAAGATGTTTGATAAAATGCACAAGGAAACCATCCGAATGAACGGCGGCAATAGACAGGCAGGTAACGCCGATGTTATTTCAACTATCCGCAACATACCCAACAAGGATGAAATATTTGGAATCCTTAAGGCCAATAATAAATTATTTAATAAAAAGGGTGTTAAGTTTTCTGCATCCGGATCAAAGATACTGTTGAATGGTAAAGCTTTAGACTTGGGATCGTTTTCCATCCTATCGAAGCCCCAAAGATTGGAAGTCCTTTCAGAAATGCCGGCCACTCCTGCTCCACTAGAAGTTAACGTAACTTCCTCTGCTTCATTTTCGATTGATATTATTAATAGTTTGAGTAGGAACGACTTTGTAAATTTAGTATCTTTTGGTGCTCGTCTATATACTGATTCAACATCACTTAATCATGCCTTGCAAATGACCTTGCGCGAATTTTCTCAATGTATAAAAGAAAAAGTTCTTGCAATTGCAATGGCAATTGTAAACGAGGCGGTAAATATAGGTATTGATAGTATTCAAAATTTGCTTCCGTCCGTCTCTGAACCCATTATTGTCGTTATAAACGTTGTTAAAACATTTGCTCAGAATTGGGCAGAACAATATAGAAATGAATATGAAGAAAGCAAACGTCGGGCACAAGGAAATCCCTATTTTGACGCGGATGAATTTGATGAAATGTACGGTATACATCCAAACACGATTGACAAAAGTTTGTATTTTTGCGAAGTCGTCATTGACATAATGGTTTCCAAGGGTAAAGTCATACCGATATACTTGGAACAAGTTTTTGACTATTTTATGGAATTGATCACAGCAAAACTTGTAATGGATAATCAAGATGTACGAAGGGAACAGGAGCAAGAGCGACGTTACGTATTACAACGGATACAAAGATCATGCAAACAATGTAGGGGACATTATTTTGTTGACGAATAATATTATTCACGTCTCTTTGATTATACTAAAGAAAGCGCAGCTGACTGACGTAATACAGTTTATTGTTTCGTATTTGTAATATTCCGCAGAATAAAACAAAAAGAATGGAAGAGGGTTTGGTTTATTCATGGTGGTGGTTGTCACTTTCTATTCTTTGACATAGAAAATATAATGCAAGAAAAAGCCGCTCTTTGTTCATCAATATTACAATAAAAAGGGGCCTTACATATTCCTAAATACATCATCATAGGGTCGTCAATCCTAAGACTGGTTGGACATGTACCTCCACTTTTTCCTATCCTGAGCTAAACTTCGCATTTCCCTAAAACCAGAACAACCCACATCTTTAACTATTTGTGAACAGTAATCTAACGTAGATCTACCTCTACCCCTCCTAACTCCCGTTTCTGCCACTAATATGTCTCTGACTAGACCTTCATACCTGAGAAGGTGTCCTACCAACCTATCTCGCCTATTTTTTATTGACTTCCATAGAGCCCTATGTTCTCCTATTCCTACATACATATCAAATTAAATTATTTTGATGGTGGCGATTTAAAGTATTTTTCTTCTTAATTAGTTTGTAAAACCCAAAGTATTTTTAAGATGATTGCATGTCTTCGAATGTTAAATTACTTGATGTACTCTTATAATGTCTCTTATTTATAAAAAGAGAAAATTATGTACAATTTAACATATTAAAGCAAACACTTTACTTTAACTGAAAAACTAAACCTTTTGGATGTTTCATTACCAGCAGCTACTAATGGGCGGAAAGTCCCTCCGTACTACGTCGGAGGGTAGGGTGGAAGACCCTCATCTTCAGGCTCCTTTCTTTTTAGTAATTGCGGGAATAGGTTAGTAGTAGTTGAAGTAAAAAAGATGAGACGAACGAAATCAAGACAGAAGAGAGTGAATAATTACCTGTGGATTATTACTGCCCCCGCATTTACCAAGTGATCCAAAGAAACCACAGAAAAACTTGGAACAACGCAGACGGACCCGAAATCGAACAAGTCCCCTCGCGAATGCTAATCAGTACCCTAAACCTCTAGGCCATGTCGCTCAGTCACTTTTAATGTAAACTGCTCTCTTTATAGAGATACCTACTGATAGACCATATGAAATCTATAGTAAGTTTTCCTCGTCATCATCATAAAGTCGTCAGCCTTAAAACTGATTGGACCCGCATCTCCACTGTTCCCTATTCTGAGCTAATCTTCGCACTTCTCTAAAACTAGAACATCCCACATCCTCTCTTAATTTCCGTTTTTGCCTCTAATATGACTCTGACCAGACTTTCATACCTGAGAAAGTGTCCTACCAAGCTATCTCGCCTATTTATTATTGACTTCCATAGCACCCTTTGTTCTCCTACTCTTTCTAATACCTCCTCATTTCTAACCTTCTCTATCTAAGGTATGCTAATCATTTGCCTGTGCCACATTTCGAACGCTTCAAGCCTTTTCATTTCTGCCTTTAAAAATATTTTTTGAATTTCTATTGTTCCTTCTATCCTGAGTTGTCCGACTTCATATTAGATACCGAAAACCAGTTACTTCTAATTTTTCATTTCCTATCTTTATTTTAACTCTTTCTTCTGTTTCATAGTAGTATTTTTGTTTTACTTTTATTTATTTTCATACAGTACTGTTTTGTCAATATCGCTTCCATTTTATTTATTTCTGTCCATCGTTAACTTTTTCTTCTTTTGCCCCAGTATATTTATCCTACTTAAAATTAATGTATTAATAATGTATCGCGTCATCGATATATAGATCATTGCCTGACTCTCTTCCTCATATTTACTTCTCTACGTTGCTGCTTAAGTTCTATAACTTCCTGTTGCTGTTTATAAATGCTACATATACATCTCATCCCTACATAGTACATTGCCCCATTTAACATTGTCAAAAGCCTTTTCTAAAACTACCAATCCTACTTTCTCTTCCCTTTTTCTATCGTTTTCTCTATTGTTACCCGTATAGCTAAATTCAGTTAGTTTTTAAATCTTCTCTAATGATTACGGAAGGATATACAAAATGAAATGAAAGGGTTGTGAAACAGGAACGTTATTCATGTTTTATTTAAGAAAGTAATCTCATAATAGTAATAAAAAAAATATATTATTGAATGCAATGCATATGATTACATCTTTTAGTAGTCTTTTCTATTCACAACACTTTGCTACCCCAATATGAAGAGTTCCTGTATATTCCTACTTCATTTAAACCCTAATTAAAACCTACGGGTTGTTAGTTCAAGCAGTCTCCAGTTTGTAAACCAGGTGTAGATAAAATTAACCACTTATTCATCATCATCGTCATCATAGGATCGTCACACCTTGTTAGGAGTTATCGTTAACGATATATATTATTAGATACGGATCTAATACAGTCACGTAAGTGTCTATTCAAAGTCCTATATCGTTGTTTTTTTTTTAATTAAAGCAACGAAATCACGACAGATTTCAATTCAACAAAACAGTATGGCATAACAAACCTTTTATGCCATTGACAGTATACCTACATTACAATTTGACTGACGCTTGTTTGTACAAGTAGATCGCATGTATTCTAATTCCACTTTGAAATATTAAATTTATAAAAGCATAGACCCAGAAATAACAACATAAAGGATATATAGCTTAAGCAGCGGCATTGGCTCGTATGCTTAGCCGAAAAACCAGACGCTCGGGTTCGATTCCCGGCGAGCGAGTAACAGCAGCAACAATTTTTACTCATTAATTTGAGGCTAAAGTTAATTCAAGAAATTAATTCACTATTACTTCAAAAATTTTAACTCATAAATCCACCAGAAGTAATAATTTTTTGTTTAGTTTTACGTATTTGGTCTTGGTCTTCGTCTTGCATTTTAGCAAGACTGCATGACCAAATCTAATAACGCTGTTATTAATGCCTACTAATAATCCGTGAAGAACCAGATATTAGACGAATTAATGTAAGATGTTAGCGTAGTTTTCTTTTGTAATGTTTCGTTGGCTTGGTTTGCCAACCTCTTATTAACAGTAGTACAGTTCGTTTACTTTCTGTAGCGAAGTGACCTTCAGTTTGACCGGCGCAAAGTAGAAAAGAACAGCACTAGGCCAGAAAAGGAAGGAGACAACTCTCGGCCAAACTCTTAACCGGTGAGGAGNTATCCCGCCGGAATTTTTAAAAATTATCCATTTGGATCGATTCTACAATGAATTATTTAACAACACCTTTGTATACGGTTTAGTATCTAGATACTTCAGGCAAACAAAGGCTAAAAATGCACTAAAGAGGAGGTATTACGCAAAAAGTATTTTTTTTTTTCACTAAATGTTAAATTAAGAAATGTTGCCCCAACATCTCAGACTGTGGATAACTAAATTCAGAATCAGCGTATTTTTTTACTATTTTATCAAAAATTAAATTGCGTCGTAACGGAAAAATGAGGTCGTCTTACTTCCTTGATCGAGTTAAAATTTATTTAAACTTAATTTGTAACGTTATAACAAAAAAAAAGAAGCTCTTAAGACGAATTTTACGTTTCATTTTTAGTCTAATATGTATTTTTGTTTCTTGTTCCTGTTTGTGAAGAAGGGAAGAGTGATACTTAGATTGTATAAAGAGCAACAAGCAGTTATCGAGAAGGAAGTCAGACAGGGATGCACACTGTCACCGCTACTTTTTAATCTATAAATCGAAGACCCGATCAACATCATTAAAGACAGTACAACTATAGGGATAGACATACAGGAGCAAAATATTAGTATGCATGCTTAGATTTGCAGATAATATAGCAGTATTAGCATCTAGCAAGGAGGAGATAAGAGATAGCTTTTAATAAAATGGAAGGGGTAGTGACAAAACAGTCCTGTGTGAAAATAAAACAAAAATACTGGTATGCAAGGGAATAAAAAGTAGAGAAATAGCGAATATAAAGATAGGAGACGAAAAATTAGAAGAAATGACTGATTTTAGGTATCTAGGAAGTGAGATGTAAGTTAGGACGGAAAGAATTGTAGGGATATAAAGCAGAGGATAGTGTAGGGTCGAGTCGCCTTCAATAAAAAGAAGTCACTTCTATACTCGCGAACGGTTAATTTATAACTTCGAAAAAGGTGTTTTAAGATGTATGTTTGGAGAACGACGCTGTACGGGTGCGAAACATGGACGAAGGGCGCGGTGGCGTCTTCTCCCAAATAGCCGTTGATTGTTGCATATACAGGTTTGAAAAATACTTGATAAAATTTAAATCTGATTGTCATTATAATCAGATGAAACGAGACATTGTAGTGACTTAATAGCTGGGGAGTTGGCGGCAATAATTTTAAAATAGTGGAATGTTCACTATAAAAATCACTAAAGTTAACTTCTGCCATAGTATTATCGCTGCATAATTAATTAATGATTAATTAAAGATAAATAAAAAAATCTTTTTTTTTTTTAATACAAATATTTTATCAATTAACTGCAAAAATCTTAAAGTTGAAGCAAGCGACTTCTCTAATCAAGAGACCAATAAGAAGTGACAATTTTATTATTACACATTGGATAGATTGCATAATCAGTAAAATACGTTCTCACGGTAATATCTCGCGCTTATCGGTTGTACACAGGTTTAAGGACATAACTCCTCCATCTTTAGTGATAGAATCGTCCTCGATTCTCTTATTACGACAACGGTGAATTCTGATTCTCGATGACGTCTTCCTTGGCTACTGGATTTTTTTTTATAGAGCAAAAAAGAAAAAGTGCGTACATAGGATTTGTAGATTTAGAAAAAGCTTTTGACAATGTTAAATTGGACAAGATGTTAAATACACTTAAAAATGTAGGGATGAGTTACAAAGATAGAAGAGTGATACTTAGTTTATATAAAGAGCAACAAACAGTTATAGAGATGGGGTTGCAACGTAGAGAAAGTAAATATTAGGAAGGGAGTCCGACAGGGATGCATACTGTTACCGCTATACGAGGGTGGATTGATAAGTTTCCGGCCTAACCAAGAGATGACGCCACTAGGCCTACCTTGAGGTGACATTCTATAGTACCATCCTTGGATAGCTTGTAGCTATAGTTTCAGCCCGATCTCCTTGCTAGTGTAGGTTTGACAGCAC